ACGAAAATTGCATCCGCCCGAGAAAAATTACCCGATACACGATCGTGCGCGCGTTCAAAGTGTGGCGCTGTTACTTGACCGGTGCAGACGTGACAGTACGGACAGACCACAAATCACTACAGTACCTCCGCGCACAGCCCCACCTCAACCCACGACAGATTCGCTGGCTCGATTTTCTCGAGTCGAATTTTCATTACACGGTCACCTACAAAAAGGGGACATCAAACATCGCCGACGCACTGGCCCGCCCCACTGCCCAAATCCACGCCATACTACTCGCCCAGACAAGCCCACTGCTTACAGGAGTATTTACCCACGGATACCAAACAGACCCATTCTTCACCGGAGGAAAATTCCAGCAGTTCGCAGCAGCGAAGGGGGTTTATTACGTAAAAGCCGGCACCGATCGCATCTGGGTACCGTGTCAGAAGTAGTAGTAGAAAGAAAGAATGAAGAAAGGAGGATGTTCACTAGCAAGCAGTTGGACACATATAGCAAACCCTAATTGGGCTGTACTCACTATGGAGTACCCCACTGCAGGCTAGACAATTATAACATTCTGACACACCCCCAAGCCAAAGTGGGGTGTAATCAGCACAACAAGCAAGCATAGTAATAGTTCACAATTATAAGCAAAGCTAGAGGTAATCACAGCGGGCAAGTGAGGAGGAGGAGGGACTGTGAGAGGAGAGAAGATGAGAGACGGCGGCTGAAGCTGCAGACACACGGGCAACAGGAGCTGCTGGCACAGTGGCTACCGGGACAGTGCGCCCCGGACTACTGGAGTAACTGGCTCATGGGCTACGACGAGCTACAGGAGCAACGGACCCTCGGGCGACAGGCGCAGCAGACTCTCTGGGCTACCAGGACAGTGCGCCCCGGACTACAGGTGCTGCGGACGACAAGACAGCAGCCTCCGCTCAACCTCCTCCAACTGTCCCACACACCCCCCACACACCCACTGCTTCACTCCCAACTCCACTTGCACGTCACCCCCCTAGTACCACTCCTTCGGCTCCCACACACCCACCCCCCTCAGCGGCAGCTGCAGCACTGGGAGACGGAGGAGGAGGAGGAGCAGGGGACGACGCACAGAAACTGCACCCCCATACCCCCCACCCCAAACCCTAATTCAGGAGAACGGGCAGCAGCAGGGGTGGGGCGCCGTCAGAAGCACGGGGGACAGCGGGCAGCGCAGGGGAAGAGGAAACAGGGCGCCCACGGGCCTGGCGCAGCCCGTACGAACCGCGTGCGGGCGGCCCGAGGCGCGCCCTGGCCTGACGCAGCCCGTACGGGCCGCGCGCGGGCCTGGCGCTGCCCGTACGGGCCGCGCGCGGGCCTGGCGCAGCCCGTACAGGCCGCGCGCGGGCCTGGCGCAGCCCGTACGGGCCGCGCGCAGGCTGTACGGGCCGCGCGCGGGCCCTACGCAGGTCGCGCAGGCCGCGACGGGCGACGGGGGGCGACGCGCGGGTCCCCGTCGCCCGTCGCAGCGCCTCCCGGGAGCGACGCGCGGAGTGACGGGGCAGAAAGCCGCCGCGCGCCTCGGGGCGCACGGCGGGCGGGCAGAAAACCGCCGCGCGCCTCGGGGCGCACGGCGGGCAGAAAACCGCCGCACGCTCCGAGCGCGCGGCGGGATGAAAAATCCGTCGCACGCCACGGGGCGTGCAACACACAGAGTAGCAGTAGCAGCGGAAGCAGTGAGGTGGTGGGCCCACCCACAGGATCGACCCAAGGGGATCGACCTGCTCTGATAGCATGTCAGAAGTAGTAGTAGAAAGAAAGGATGAAGAAAGGAGGATGTTCACTAGCAAGCAGTTGGACACATATAGCAAACCCTAATTGGGCTGTACTCACTATGGAGTACCCCACTGCAGGCTAGACAATTATAACATTCTGACATACCGGGCTACACTTTACTAAGGGAACTGTTACTACAGGAGGCACACGACGGGGTTACCTCAGGACATTTCGGAGTAGAGAAAACTCGGCAGCAGCTGCAGTGATATTATTTCTGGCCCGAGATGCTGACCGACGTGCAACGACACGTGGCATCGTGTCCCACCTGCCAGCTCTTGAAGTCGTCACGACAATGACCAGCAGGACAGTTGCAGTCGATACCACCCCCAGAGCGTGCTTGGCAGCAGGTGACGATGGACTTCATCACGGGGTTACCGGCAGGAGCAAGTGGGAACGATGCAATCCTAGTCGTCGTCGATCGGCTGACGAAGATGGCACATTTCGCAGCCTGCAATAAATCTATCACAGCCGTTGAAACAGCTCGCCTCTTCATCGCCACCATCGTTCGACTGCACGGGATACCAGCGGCGATTATCAGCGACAGCGACACGAAATTTACCAACAACTGGCGGAACCTGTGGCAGCAGTTGAGCACGCGACTACAGTTCAGATCATCGTACCACTCCAAAACTGACGGACAGATAGAACGGACAAATCATACCATGGAACAGTTAATCCGAGCCACGTGCGACGACCCGACCACGTGGGAACAGCAGCTGCCACTCATGCGGTTCACGTAAAACAACTCGCCATCCACCACGACCCAACACTCACCTTTCTACCTGAACTACGGACAAGACCCCACAGTACCCATGACCCCGAATCCCGACAACCCGGTGCCACGCGCGCAACAATTCGCAGAAATATTACAGGCAGCACTGACACGAGCAGCAAAAGCAATATAAATAAATAAACGTCATCGCTAAGCACAACGCCAACCGCCACCGCCGCCCCGTCACTCACCAACCCGACGACCCGGTCTTACTCGACACTCAAAACCTCTGCCTACCCATCACTCCAAAACTCCGCCCCCGATATTGCGGGCCATTTCGCATCAGCCACATGATCACCCCTGTCACCGCCCACCTCCTCCTCCCCGCTGACTGGTACGTCAGCCCGTCATTCCACGTCAGCCTGCTCCACCCGTATATCCCATCCACCAGCCAACTGTCTCGCAACCGCCCCGCCAGTATGACACGACCGCCGGCAGAGCCAATTATTACGCCCGAAAAAATACTGAGCCACAGAGTTCGTGACCCACGGGGAGGCCGCAGGATCGAAATTCTGATCCGCTGGAAAGATCGCACGCCCACCGAAGACAACTGGGTCCCCCTGGATAGAATCGAGAACCACCCTGTCCTCACCGTGTATCTGTGCATCCGGAAATTTCAAGATGTACACGCACTTTCGTAAGGAGGACCTCCTTAACGGGGGGGGGGGGGGGGGGGGGGGTAGTGTAAGGAAAATTCATTTTCCTTACTTCGCGTCCTTGCCTACCGCGTACATGACCATTCCCGCCATCGGCACCCAACAGTGAAATGTTCCCCGCTCGCGACACTCGCCTCGACCCCGATGCCGCCAGTGTTCACGATGCGACCCAGCCTCACAGTTTGGTTGGTAACCCGCGTTCCGGACCTCCGCCTCGACATTTCCCAACCTGGGCACTAGGCCCGTAGCGCACCCAATTTCTTGCGGTACCGTTACCACGCTAGCTTCGCGATATATTCTTCGCTCATGCCTTCGCTCAATGTATTGTTTTGCTTCGATAGTGCAATTCTCGCTCGCTTGCTCAGTTGCACTCGTAACAGTCAACCATATGAAACTATCAACCAAGACTTTACCATGTAGTAGAGAGATTAAGAGTACAAGACTTTACAATATCCAATAATTATTGACGTCCCGTTAGCCCGATATTTTAGCTTCTGAGATATTATTTCATATTAGCTCGTTATATTTTTAACGTTGGAAAATATGGCATAAGCAAGTACCAATACAAACTATACTTCTGTACCTACACTTCAGCAATTTGCTTGAAAACATATCACAATACTCGCGCTGTTCTAGTCCATTAGTTTTTCAGATCACCATGAGTCGTTTTCGGAAAACCAAATCTGCCCAACCCAATGTGATGCTGAGCCCCCGTTGGCTCACGCCAGCTCATCCTCACCATCGAGAATCTCATCCAGCCCGTTTTTTCTGCAATGGCGATCATCCAGGTTCTGTGACAGCGTTCGTCGTAGGCCCAGATTCTTTCGCCACTGCCCTTCGCTTATCGTGCGACTGTCCGTGCATGACGCCCAGCGTGCGAATACGGGCAGGACGGTCAGAGGGGATGGGTTGTTGTACAGTCCTGTCAGCGGCTTGGAGAGCGAAACCTAACCCTCGCCACTTCCTTTCGGCACGTCTCGCGGGAGTCCTTTGAAACCCTCGCCGCAAGTGCGAAACCCTCGCTTGCTACTATCCACCTCTCGCCTATCCCTCTGTCAGACCCTCGCCAGCTCGTCTCGGACAGAATGAAACCCTCGCCAACCCTTTTCTGCCCTCGCCAAACCATTTCTCCTTCGCCTAGTTCTTTGCCTCCCCTCTTTCCCAGTGATCCTTCATTTCGCCTTCCTTGTCTGTTTCTTTCGCGTAATCTCTCGCGCGTTTCGCCCACATTTCTCGCCCAAGCCAGCGAAGAAAAACTACCCTGGTTTTGGCTCTGCCCCCTTGCTCGCCCAGCCTGGCGTCGCTAAACTCAGCCATGGCGATTCGTTTCTCCCCAGAGGAGCTCAAAGGGGAGCTTCTCAGGGTGAGGCGTGAACTTGCTCATTTGGATACCCTTCTGGATCGGACCTTCAGGGACATAGAAGCTGCGAGTGAACATGGCGAGAGGGACCGCATGGAAGATGCGAGAAATGTTCGTCAATGCCTGTGGAAGGATAAGGAGCAGCTGAGGTCACAAGAGACTATATTTCTGAGACTTTTATTCGATCCAAATTCTGTTGGTGGAAATCCTGCGGAAAATGGAGTGCCGTCTGCCTGCGCTGGCTTCCCGCCTCAATACTCCGTTGATGGTAAGGCTTCTTTTCGTGAGCTTAGCTGACCTGTATATGTGTTTTGTTGGTGGCATCCAACTATTCTGTCTTAGATGTGTGCAATGCCATTATTATTCGCCACGTGGCGCTGATTATTGTTTGTGTTTTACTTTTCTCTTACGACAGGTTCGCCGATGCCGATTATGGGTCATGGAGATCCTTCGCGGATGCTCCACTCGGTATTTACACCGCCGATGCTCGGAGTTAAGCCGGGAAAGATGAAGATGCGACGCAACAAGCTCGCTTCACCCGGCCTGCCATCGTCCATGTCTGACGGAAAGTCTCCATCTGGTTTTGAATCTGACTTCGCTAATCCGAATGGTTACGAAGTCAACCGGAGTGCGGAGTGCAAAGTTCGCGACGTCTGGCTCGAATGGAAGGAAGGGCTGAATGGTTTCCCGTCGATTGAGAAGCTTGAAGAAGAGAGGAAGAAGGACCGGAAGAAAGTCTGGTGGAAGAATATGAACGACTACAAATACTGGAGCAAGCAGGTCGGTACCGTCGGTCGTTGTTAGTTTCGTACCTGGACAAGTAAAGGTCGCACAGTATAGCACTATCGCTTTTTACATCCTGACTCATTTTCCTCTAATGATTCTGCAGATGAGGATTGTTCATGCTGTCGAGGAAAAGGCTCGCGAGCTTGGTGGGGATCTCGACTCCAGCATCAATTTCTGGGAGGACATTCTTCGCGAGGAATTCGACGGAAGCGTCTCGAAGCTTCGCGAAGCTTTAGGAGGCCAAAAGACAAACGAAGAAGACATTGGTCGTTTCAAGAAGCGATGCCGGGATTTGTTGCAAAAGGGTTTGCTTCGGATGGCTAAGAAGAGACAGATGACGCACCAGCAGTCAGATCAGCATCACGCTCACCAGCAACAAGCCTTGCATCAGCAGCAGCTGATGGAAATGCAGCAGCAGACGTTCACTCAAGCTGTTCAGGGCGACATGGTTCACATGGCAGGCATGGGTATGCCACACGATCCCAATGTTCTTCCAAAGCATGAAGCCCAGCACGAAGTTTCGCAGCAGCAGGTTCTGGAAGAAAACATGTTGCACGAAGCTGCTGCTGCAGCAGCAGCAGCAGCCGCGGCGCAGGGTCAGCTAGATAACAACGTGCTGTTGATGCAAGATGCGCATGGGCTGCAGCAGATGTCAGGCGAAGGTCAGGCTGGGATGCAGGCACATGGAGAGGAGCAGCTAGATGACGCTCAGGAACAGCTGCATCAGCAGCAGCAACAGCAGCAGCAGCAAGAGCATTTGCGGCAGATGCATGAAAACCAGCTTATTGCTGCGTCCATGCATGCTGCACAAGCAGGCCATGCTGAGGGGGAGGAGGAGCATGGGGAAGAACAGCATGGGGAGGAGGGGGAGGAGCAGATGCATGGGGATCATGGAGAGGTGGAGGAGGGTGATGAGGAATTAGAAGGGGAAGGCAGGGGGGAAGACGTGGAGGGGGAGGAGGAGCATGTGTGAGTGGGGATGGTGTGGTAGGTGCACTGCTGGTGCCTTACATGCCTACTCTACTATCTAGATGTCTTGTGCGTGTTTATTTTCATATAGCTGTTTTCATAAATGTGATTTGAAAATAATGTCTAGGAAGTTGTATGAGTAACTAATAGAACATCAATTGTTCCATACATTGTACAACCTCATACAAAACAGTTTTCAAAGTAGGTACACAACGGAATAATGAACTAGAAACGGGATGGGGTACAAATATGCAAACCTAAAAGTTGTACCCCCTAGAAGGCACCTCACTATAGTCGATACCACGTACCGTATTATATATTTGACACACCCCCATAGGCTAAGTGAGGGGCATCAAAGCAAGCAAGGTGAACAAACGGTGACAAGACCAGTCAATGCAAGAAGCAAAGCAAGCTCTGGGTGGATCTCAAGGACACCACACAAATTCCGAGCACAAACAAGCGGTCACAAGGCCAGTTCAAGAGTTCATTATGGTATATATAGCAAAGTACAACAAACAGAGCAAACAACAAGTCTACAGCAACCGAGGGCCTACCTCAACAAGCCCCAACTGCACACAGAACCTGTGGTGGTCACCAGGCGCCAAGACCTTGGTGAAGACGTCGACAGTGTTGGCCTATGAGGCCACGAAGTCCAAACGTGCCTGGACGCGTCGCTGCAACTCTCGCAGGAGAAAGTACCTAACGCCAATATGCTTCACTCTGCTCTCCAGTCGAGGCTCTCGACACAGGAGGATCATGGCCTTGTTGTCAGCGTACAAGGTCGGTGCAGAGCGAGGTCGCTCACCAAGGTTGGCGAGCAAGAAGGTCAACCAGCAAAGCTCCTGCGCTGCCATGGCACCAACGTAGATCTCTGCCTCTGCACTGGACAAAGCCACAGACGACGACCGTGTAGACTCTTAGAAGCTAGGCATGAGTGATGTCGACTATCGAGATGGTTGGTACAGAGAAAAATGAACCTACGGTAAGGGGTTGTACCCCACAGTGTGTACCCCACTAAGCCTACCCAAAATATAACATAGTTATACATATGTTTGACACACCCCCATAGGCAGAATGGGGGAGAACAGAGGGTCACAAGACCAGTCAGGAAGTGCAAAGCAAGCTCAGGGTGGATCACAACGTCACCACGCAGTCTGAGCACAAGCAAGAAGGCCACAAGGCCAGTTCACATGCAGAGATATATATGTAAAAACAACAGTACAGTGAAATCTACCTACAAGAACAAGCATGCAGGAATACATATAAATCATGGTACAAACAAAGCCTACAGCAAGTGAGGAAGAGTGGGCACAAGGCCTAACAAAGTGCAGAAACGCTGATGATCACCAGGCGGAAGTGCCTTGGTGAATATATCAGCAGTGTTGGCCCGAGTGGCCACGTAGGTAAGACGAAGCTGGCCACGCTGCTGCAGCTCTCGAGCAAGAAAGTAACGGAGAGCAATGTGCTTCGTTCTGTGCTCCAGTCTGTGCTCCTGACACAAGGCAATGGCGGCCTTGTTGTCGACGTACAGCACTGGAGGAGAACGAGGCCGCTCTCCCAAGTCAGTCAGCAGGTAGGTGAGCCAGCGAAGCTCCTGTGCAGCCATGGCTGTGGCGTAGATCTCAGCCTCACAACTGGAGCCGAGAACTGAAGACGAGCGTGTAGAACGCCAAGAAACTGAACCAGAGCCAAGGCTGAAGGTGTAACCATGTGACGACCGCTGCGTAGCCTGGTCGTCAACCCAAGAGGCGTCCGAGTGACCAGTGAGGACAACGTCACCCCGTCCTCCAAGCACGAGCCCCATGCCCGATGTACTGCACAAGTAGCGTAGTACCCTCTTGGCAGCATCCATGTGCACCTTTCGGTGCCGACCAGGAGCCACGTAGCGAGCCAGAAGGCCAAGAGGGTACGCAAGGTCAGGACGAGTGCAAGTCATCAGGTACATGATGCAGCCCACTAACTCTGGGTAAGGACCACTCGGCTCTACGGACTCGTCCGAAGGTGGAGCTGAGAGCGAGTGACCTGTAGCCAGAGGAGTGGCCTGTGCTGAGGACCAGGTGAAACCGAAGCGCAGAAGGACCTGCTGCACCATGTGTGACTGAGTCAGTATGATGGTGCGGCGTGCTCTGTCCCGAGTGATCTGCAAGCCAAGGTAGCTGCGCAGTTCACCCAGGTCTGTGCACGTGTGTCTCTTCTGCAGCTCCGACTTCACCAGGGCGAGAGCCTCAGTGTCAGCAGTGGCAAAGACCAAGTCGTCGACGTACACGAGAACGTAGAACGGTGGCAGCGAAGTGTCGGTGCGCAAAAACAGCGACGGGTCAGCAGTCGACGGAGCAAACCCAAGAGCCGCAAGTGTCGTCCTCAGTGTGTCGTGCCACTCACGTGGCGCCTGGCGGAGACCGTAGACCGGCCGCCGGAGGCTCCATTGGGTACCAGGAGGGAACGACCCAGTGAAGCCAGGAGGGCGGCGCAGCCAAATCTCCTAGTGCAGGCTGCCCTGCAAGAAGGCTGTGCTGAAGTCAAGAGAGTGAAGCTCGTAGTCACGCTGAGCGGCAACGTGCAGCAGCACCCGAAGAGTGGTCATCTTCGGGGTGGGGGAGAAGGTCTAGAAGAAGTCAACTCCCTCTCGCTGACTGAAGCCTCGAGCCACGTAACGAGCCTTGAAGACAGGCGGAGAACCTGGCGGCCGCTTCACCCTGAAAATCCACATGCCACTGACAATGTTCGCCCCAGGAGGGGAACCTCGTCGACGTAGGTGGCTGTGGACTTCCAGGATGCCATCTCTGCATCCATGGCTGTCTGCCACTGAGAGGAGTACTCACCCGCGATCGCCTCAGCGTAAGAGCGCGGGGTAGGGATGTCTGGTGCATCCGGGTCTCCCTCAGGGGCAAGCAGCATGGATACGAGATGAGGCGCAGCGGCTGCAAGACACTCAAGGTCCTCCTGCCTGTCCTCAAGGACGTCCGTGCCAAGAGCACACTCACCCCCGACGGACGGAGGACAGACAGACGCAGACTCAGCAACAAGACCGGCTGCGTAGTCTAGACGACAGTGAGCAGCAAAGGCAACAAGCTCAGTGACTAAGGCAGACGCAGCAGCAGACTCAAACGAAGGGTCAGTGACAACAGTGGCAAGCAGACGCGTGACAGTAGAGTGCTCAGCACGAAACCGGTCAGACGCAGGGTCAGCAACGACAGGCAGAGAGGACGCAGGGGGAGGCGGCAGAGGAACACGCGGTGAAGGAGAGGAAGGACGACGAACGACAAGGGGAGGGCCGGAGACAGCCGGCTGGCACTGACGAGGAACACGACGACCGGAACTGACAGGGGAGACAGGACGCGACACAGGCTCACGACGCTCTGCAAGGCCACCAGGCTGCTCTGTGTAAGGAGAGGGAGCAGGCAGCGGTGAGCCAGGCTGTAACGGAAGACCAGTAGACGAGGGAAGACCGAGAACCTGGCGAAGTGCAGAGTCAGGTGGTGGCTGAGACGACGGAGACGGCGGAGCAAAGAACAGGCGCAGCTGAGCAGTGCCACCAGCAGCTCCAGCACCCCCAGCAGCTCCAGCACCTCCAGCAGCTCCAGCACCCCCAGCGGCTCCAGCACCTCCAGCAGCTCCAGCACCTCCAGCACCTCCAGCACCTCCAGCAGCACCACCACCAGCCCCAGCAGCTCCAGTACTCCCAGTACGAGCACCTCCGGGACCAGCGACACCAGCAGAAGAACCTCCAGCAGGAGAGCCCTGAGGTGCAGAAGTGGGACGCTGACGGCGACCGTACCAGTCGTGCAGCTGCTGGGAGGTGAGGGGCATACGCGGACGAAGACGGCTACTCCAAGGAGACCGCATAACAGCAGTCTCAGAACCCTCAGGCGGCTCACCCCCAGACTCAGCACCCCTAGGCTCCGCACACACAGGCTGAGCACCCCCAGACGCAACACCTCCGGATGCAGTACCACGAGACGCAGCACCACCAGGCTCCTCACGCGCAGGCTCAGCACCTCCAGGCTCCACACGCTCAGCGCCCC